TACATATAAAAATATTAATTATATAGAAAATTGCGGCCTTAAGTCACGCCTTACAAATATCGTGGCTCGCCAAGCCTCGGAAAAGCTTGAGGCTTGACATTGCCGCTAAGTCACGCCTTACGTTATTTAGAACCTTGGTTTGAGCTAAACCCGTCAAATGAGGGTATTGATGGGTAAAGTTGGAAACTTTACCCTTAAAAGGACACATTCAGTGTATATATATGAAGCAACAAGCTTAGATCTGAAGAATAGGGGCTTAATCCTTTAAGTTGGCCCAAACAGACTTATGAACTCGGCGAGTCCAGAGAGGGACTCGACGAGTTAGTCGTTATGTCTCAATTCAATTTAAGGTAGAACTCGACAAGTCTGTGAAGGGACTCGACGAGTTGACTCGCTTTGTCGCGACCATGAGTAGCCAGGGAACTCGTCGAGTCAGGGGGATGACTCGACGAGTTGGATCGCGATTTCAGGGTTTTGAGTTATAGAACTCGGCCAGTTAATGGGTCAACTAGGCGAGTTGAGTCAACCCATAACGTTGACTTTGACCAGAACGTTGACTTTGACCAGGGGTTAAATGGTCATTTTACCCTAAGAAGGATTATCAGATTCTGACTAAGTGTTATTGTGATAATGATAGCCGAGGAGTCGCGGGAGCAGCCGATAGAGATTCCTTACGAGAGATTCAGTAGCCAACTTCGTGAGGTGAGTTTTCCTCCAGTAGGAACGGGTCTAAGGAACCAATGTCGACTCGTTTATGTATGTTAGCATATGCCGGACTTCGGTCCGATGTCGGGGCTAGCCTGATGTAGATTACATGTTTCCAGACATCAGTCCGATGTCGGGGCAAGCCCAAGGAATATTTGTATGCTTGATGTCGTCATGATTCTCGCATATGTCTGTTTATATGTTTCGGGCTTTGGTCCGAGGTCGGGGGTAAGACCGAGGAATGTTTAGCTTATATGTTATGTTTGTATGTTCCGGGCTTTGGTCCGATGTCGGGGCAAGCCCGAGGAATGTTTATATGCTTATGTTGTGTGTTATGTTTTATACGTGTTGATATGTTATGTATACCGGACTTCTGTCCGATGCCGGGCGGGGCCCGATACCGGACTTCGGTACGATGTCGGGCGGGGCCTGATGTCGGATTCGTCCGATGCCGGGCGGGGCCCGATGTAGTCGGCAATGCCCAATGTATGTTATTATGTGATTATATGTATGGTATGTGGAAGTTTGGGGAGACTCGCTAAGCTTCGTGTTTACAGTTTTCAGTTTTGGTTTCAGGTACTTCTGCTAGTAAAGGGAAGAGCTCGCTATGACTGCATGGCACACACCATAGCTTTTAGCCTGGGAGGATTCACTCTGATGTTTTGACATGTGATTTTGAGATATTGACAGATGTTATGATATTTTTGAGATACACGATTTATGAATTTTTGATACTTATGGTTTTTATGAATGAATTAAAATGAAAATTTTGGACTGTATTTTTTGGATGTTTCAAGTTGGTATCAGAGCCTTGGTTTGAGGGATTCGGGCACACTCTCGGGTGTGTCTGAACTCAAACTAAGGAATTGGTATGAAATTTTTCAAGGAAAATCATTTTAGAAAGAACTTTGAAAAGGATTTTGAAAAAGAGAAAAAGAACTTTGAAAAGAGAAAAGGGTGTGGTGCATGCAATCAACCGAGCTCAAGTAAGTACTCCCAAATTACCCATACAAGTTTATGTTCTGATATGCTTATAAGAATTGCATGCTAGATTAGGACTAAGGATCTAGGAAGGATTCCTTATGTGCCTGTTATATGTATCTCAGCTTTATGAACTACATGCTAGTACAGATTAGTCAGGGATGGCTTGAATGAGATATGCTTGATTATGTTTACTCAATGCTCGAATGTTGCTTGCTTTGTGCTAATAGGAGTTCTATGTATATTTTACTAACTAGTAAACGAATATGTTAAGTTACATATTGTGAGTACTAAATAATTTCAGAAGGTTAGGTTTAGCTTTATTTTGCAGCTCTTGTCTGAGTCCAACCATTGTAGGGTAGGATCTCTCATTCGAATAATTATCTAATCTTAGTGATATGTAATGGTATTCGTGAGCTAGTTAGGGGGAGATAGCAAGGACTTCTTATGCAGCTGATAGCGGAGAGTGATTGGTGATTACCCTAGGGCAAGCCTAGGATGAGATTAGCGTGAGAACAGCAGTAGTAGTAGAAAGGACTTGGCGGAGTCAAGGCAGTTCTTGAGGAAAGTACGGATAGATGTGCAAGGTAGTATGGGCCCATACTACTAAAAGCAGAGGATCCATACTCGAATCAAGGAAGGCTGAGATGAACCGTCGGTAATCCGTCGCTAATGCTCTTTACCGACAGAATTGTAACGAACCAAAATCCATCGGTATATTCTTGTCGCTAATTGTTTGTAACGGATTTCCGACGGCTATGGCTAATTTTTAGTGACAGATTATTCCGTCGGAAATAGTAACGGATCACCAACAGAATATATTTTGCAACGGATTACCGACGGAATTTGTTTGCAACGAATTACCGATGGAAAATTTTACTAACGGAATCTGAAATAACTTACTAACGGATTACCGACGGAATTTGGAATAACTTACTAACAGATTACCGACGGAATCTCGATATGACTACAATTTTTTTTTTGTGACAGAATAGCGACGGATTTTGGCATTATAAAAAAATTTACAAATTAATGAAGAAATTAAAAACTAAAAATAATTACATATTCAACGCATAAATTTTTTAAACATACATCAAATACCATAAATGTCCTCCAATGTTGACAATAAAGGGGGATAAAATAGTAAAAATGAATGTTATTAAAAAGTAGCATTTATGATAATGCGTAAGAATATGTGATTTTAAGTAATTTGGTGTATTACAGTAGCATTGAGAGACTGATGAATGATGAGGATGCTAAATTGCTTATTATTATAAGAACATGGCTGATGAAATGGCCATATACTGATTATACTCGATCCACAATAACAAAAGGTGGCCACTGTAGGCGATTCATCATGATCATGATCGTTTGCTCCTTGATCCAACGAAGAAATCGTTGATGACTCAAATCCCAAATCAGAAGTCTCTTCTAAATCGTCTAATTCTCCATTCTTAATAGTCTCTGATTCTAGAAACTTTGGATTAGCGGTAGAAATTCAGTCCTGCATTTATACAAACAGTTGGCGTGCATTAAAAAGGATAACGGAAAGAAACACCACGAAAATACTAGAATTGCAAGAATCTTTGTAAAGGACAAGCAAATTACAAAAAGAAATCTCGAAACGTCGAGTAAATCGCTAGCAAAAAGTTAATATTTAAAAAAACTAAAATCAACGGTTAGATCATTCAAAATACCAATATCAACATAAAAAGGAGATTAAGAATCTTTTTAGAGAGTTATTACCTTTATTCGAATTAGAAACAATTTCCTCTTTAACCGCAATAACAGCAAATACTAAACAATCTTGATTTCATTTTTCTCTTTCTTCAATGTATATACCGACGATAGTGTACTTTGTTGCAAATCCGTCGCAAAAAACATCAGTAATATCCTAATAATTTCGTTTTCTTATTCGGTCGGAAATCCGTCGGTATTCCGTAGCTATTTCCGACGGATTTTTTCCGTCGCTAAAATCTATCACTAATGCCCAGTTTTCTAGCAGTGTCCTTTTGGCTTCAGATCTTGTGACAGTGGTGTACAAGAGCGAAAAAATATTACTGCCTAACATTTATTATCGTAGCTAGATCACTATAGCCTTGAACTTAACTGTAGCATATATGACTTCTTATTTTAATAACCTGGCAGTATTAGTGAGACAGTGATGAGAAAATCGTAGTCTATTGAAAGGTCATTATAACCTAATAGTAATACATGAGACTGCGATCCGTTAAAAATCCATATGCGATTTTATTGGCTAGATAGGTCATTTTTAAAATTTTTTGGTTATGCTAAGAAAATGATTAGAAAAGTTGATTATTTTTCTTTTTTTTGTCTAAAAAATATATAATCAAGTTATTCTGATTCTTACTATATATTATCTGTAAGAGAAATTATTATAAAATTTCCGCCAGCCAAAAAATTTTGCTGTTACAAAAGAAAATTAAAATGAAGCGACAAAAAAAGGAAATCACTTGAAGACCAACAAAGTCAAGAGTTAATAGACATCCGCTAGCAACACAATAACAACCAGACAAAATCAGCAGTTCACTTCGGCATATCTGAAGCTCCTTTTCTGGATACAAGAGATATCGTTGTGAAGAATCAAAGGTCCAGTCAGGAGAAGCTACCCAACGATGTTATCCACACCTATCAAAGATAGCCACTCCTCTTTCATACTCCCAGACCAAACATGTCAACGTTTTACTCTTTCTGAGATTGAATCGGCAACCCAAAACTTCGATGATGCTTTAGTCATTGGCCAGGGAGGATTCAGCAAGGTGTATAAATGTCCAAAAATCGAGTCAATTAGCGAAGTTGCAGTCAAACGGTTGCACTCCATGTCTAATCAGGGAGCCCATGAATTTGAGTCGGAAGTCAAGGTCCTCTCTAAGCTGCGACATGGTAATCTCGTATCCTTAATTGGTTATTGCTATGAAGAAAAAGAGATGGTCCTCGTTTATGAGTTCATGCCCAATGGGACACTTGAAGATCATCTTCGCTCACCGGATTCCTCTTTATCCTGGTTACAACTACTGAAGATATGTGTAGGGGCAGCTCGGGGATTAGACTACCTTCACATGGGTACATCAACTCAACATGGAGTCATACATCGTGATGTGAAAACCTCTAATATTTTGTTGGATGCAAACTTTGCTGCTAAAGTTTCAGACTTTGGATTGGCTAAAGTTGGTTTAATGGATCGAACTCATGTGAGCACGGCTGTGAAAGGGACATTTGGGTACATGGATCCGTGCTACTTCTACACAGGAAAGTTGACAAGAAAATCCGATGTTTATGCGTTTGGGGTTGTAATGTTTGAGGTGTTGTCTGGGAGAAAAGCGGTAGATTCAACCCTTGATGAAGACCAGTGGGGTTTGGCAGGTTGGGCTCAGCACAAAATCAAAGAGGGAAAACTCAATCAAATTATTGACCAGAGACTAATAGGACAAATCTCCAGAAAGTGCTTGAAGGAGTTTGCAAGCGTAGCAGGCCATTGTTTACACACCCAACCAAAACACCGCCCTACCATGGCAGAGGTTGTGGTCAAGCTCGAGTCTATTCTTTCACTAGAAAGAGAAAGCGCCAATTCTGTTGTTGATGATGAAGGAATCGTTTACAAGCTAAAATCTCTTTTCATTGGGAAATTAGTTGTTGCTGCAATTCGAAGCAAATCTGATTTCATTGCGCATCGTAAACCGATATTAGATGAAGATAATGCTGCAATACGAAAAAATCCTTATGAACGTTCTAGAACTTTCTCATATGCTGAATTGGTAAGTGCAACAAATGGTTTCGAGAACGAGGAACATTCCCCAGATTTTAATGACTCCATTTTTAAAGGTTGGGTTGATGAAAGGACATATACGCCAACAAAAAAAGGTGTTGATGCTGAAATTGGAAGCAAATCGGATTTCATTGTGCACCACAAACCAATATCAATTGAAATTGATACCACAATAGGAAGCAATAGTACTAATAAAAGTTTTAGAACTTTCACATATACTGAATTGGCAATTGCATCAGGCAATTTCACGAACAAGGAATATGCCCCAACTCTAATGGATTTCATCTACAAAGGTTGGGTTAATGAAAAGACGTATGGACCAACAATAAATGGTTATGGTTTAGCGATGTATATTAGGAAGATGGAGATTCCAACACGAAAGGTACTTTCAATATTTGAAATGATGAGGATGTGGGAGTTACTTTAAATCGCATAATGAATGGGCCTCGTATATTTTTCAAGCATTCTGATATTTTCTATCTTCTTCAGTTAACAATTTGGTTGTGCAGCAGGACATCAAACTAGAACATTTCAATCATCCGAACCTTGTAAAATTCTTTGGATATTGCCTGAATGATCACAAACTATTTTGTGTTTACGAGTACATTTCTGGCATAACTTTGGATAAATACCTTTATGGAGGTAAGCATACCTTCCACTTAGTTGTAAATATCTTTCAGTTATAGCCTTACATAAACACACCTGCTTTGAGTGGTTGGCATGCAATAAATGGAAAATTGTGAAGAATAGCAACTTACTTTACTCTCTCTACCTTATTTTCTTACAGTCTTACGAATAATAGCAACGTGCATACATTTCTTTACCAATAATAGCAACTTACTTTATTTTTAACCTATTATAACAATTTAATTACATTTTTCTACCAATATGAGCATTGTACTTTATTTGTTATATATTCCCATTTCTGGTAAAGTGTAAATACGTTGTTATTATAAGCACATAACTGTTTCTATGTTGCTATTATTTGTAAAGTGAATGTTAGTATATTACTATTATGATATGAGATAGATATTGCTATTATTCGTAAAAAAAAAAAAAAAAAAAAAAATGCAAGTACATTTTTGTTATTGGTAAATTAAAGTAAATATATTTCTATTATGTATGAAAAGTAAAGTATTAGTAAAAAGAGTAAAAGACGTTGCTACTTTCTACAATCTCCCCTAACTTATATGCAAGATTGAAAATTACATTTACCCTTTCTTATGTTACTATATATGCAGAGTCAGGTACTTCACTTTCTTGGGTTGCACGATTAAAAATAGCAATAGGAGCAGCTGAAGGCCTGGCCTATTTACATAAAAGGAACCAGCCTGCGTATAGCCAATTTAAGACCAATCTTATATTGGTGGATAAGGTAAATTACACTCCCATTAACGTGTTTTAACATCAATTTTAGTTTATCTTTTCATATATTTCATGCTTATTTTCAGGATTTTAATGCTCGGCTTTCAGATTTTGCTTTTGTTACTCAAAACTTCCAATTGGATGCATATTATTATGCAGCCCCTGAGTCATTTTGTCACCAAGCAGACACATTTGATGGTCTTCACCCACTGCAGCTACCTGAAGATGGTATCTTCTTCTTTCTTAAAATGATACTGCAAGCGTTTGTTTACAATATTTTAGACAGTACCCGTAGAAATGGATGAATTTTATACAAATTTTCTATTGTCTGTATAAATACGAGGTATAGTTTTTACAATATTTTATATATAACTTCTCTAAATAAATATAGAATTTATTACTTATAATACTAAAAGATTAGACATAATAGAAGCTCACCAAACCGAAATGAGATTATAATTGAAAAAATATATTTCTATTTATTTTCCATAAATAAATCATATTTAATTAAAATCATGGAATTCTAGAAAGTGTAATTAAAAATTTATAAATAAGAATGGGTTATATTATAATTTTTCAATCCAATCCATGATGGAATGAAAAGAAAAACATCTCATGTCTAACGAATGTAAATCAACATAATGGATGGATTCGAATTCCTTAAGGAATGCTCTATTCCACTCCATTGGACAACCCTAACATCTTTTCTTTTCTAACCAAGGAAACGAACAATTACATTCCTTCTATGATTCCATCATACCAAACACATGTGTCAATGGCTGACCAATCAAACACCACTTTGACAGGTTTTGCAATTAAGAGTGAGATCTATGCTTTTGGAGTGGTACTGTTGGAAATACTTACAGGGATGAAGGTGTATGATAGGAGGAGGCCCCTTGGAAAGCAAAACCTGGTGGAATGGGCTCTTCCATTGCTAGAAGATGAGGTTAATTTGAGTGTAATTATGGACCCACGCCTTCAAAATATTGATTGTCCTCCAAAGGAAGCATTTAAGTTCGCTCAACTTATTTCAAACTGTCTTCAAGCAAAACAAGACAAACGCCCATCAATGGAATACATAGCGCAGGGCTTGCATCATTGCTATCAAAATGAAATCAAAACAGTTTGACTCTTAAAAGTCAAACATAATAGGTCGTATGTTAATAGACATGTAAATGTAAAGTATAAAATCTTGGAAATCAACTGAATAAACAAGTAGGGAAGATAGTAACGAATGAATGCTTGATCCATTTGTAGATTGTCTAAATAAAGTTAATATCTTGTTGAGATTTTTGGGATACTTATCGGTACTCATGTTCAAAGTTAACAAGAATCAAGTAACTGGTTAGTAGATCATGGGGGACTACATTGAGTAAAGCATGTTGTATTTCCACAATATTCCAACCTTTTAGATCGAAGTCAGCTAACAAAGTCTTAGAATTTATTTGTTAAATTGTTTTTCAGAACATCAGCATTTTATAAAGTTAACAAGGAGCTAGACTAAACAAAATAACATCACAGTAACAACAGCAAGGATGGGATTTTGAAGCCGCCTGACCGAGTTCACTTTGACCTTCCTACACATATTGTTAACCTAGATAAACTGACAAACTACAGAGTAATAATTTTGTAAAACAAATCAGCTCCTTTAGATATAACTTAGAAACAAAGCACCATTTCCAAATAACCATAAACTCCATCAAGCGTATAAAAAGTGGCTTCGAGAAACTCCTTCAATAACTTCTGGCTGAGCAACAAAGGGAACCAACACAACAATCAACCTACAACCCAAATATGTGTTGGTTTATGACGATATTTGGCTACAAAGGCGCAAACACAACGGAAGCAATAATAACAAAAATAGTAACTTATAACTCGAAAGACAGATCTCTTGGTCAACCAATCAATGCAACAAAAAAATCAACTAAAGAGGCGGAATTCGGTGGTCGGTCGATTCCATGAATCCATCCAACAAATGATTTAAGCAATAACATGGTTCATCTCATCCTTGTAGTTGCTTTTTACGTCATGTTTATGCCTTTTATTCATGTTTTGAAATCTGGTTAAGACCATGAAAACATGAAACCACTTTTTATGAGAAGAGTGGACAATGCCCAATAACGAGGAACGTCAAACGAAAGTCGAGTAGAGGGAACACATATGGAAGGCTAGGTTTCTATCTTTTCGTGATAAACAGCAGAGAGATTATTATATCATCTTGAACTTGATGACAATGGAGATCAAAGAGGAAAGTCCATCGAAGGAAAGGGTATTATTGAAACAAAAACTAAGATTTTTTTGTCTTACACCCCGCTCCCGAGTTCAACTTAAGGAGAGAAAAGAAAGGAAATGGGTGGAAATGAGAGGAAAGTAAGAGAGATTGATGCTCCCGAGTTTCATTAAAGGAAGGAAGTGGAAGAATCAAAAGCTTTCTTGGAAAAATCAGCTCTCTATATTAAACTACTAGTTGTGAGACCCATAAGTTATACAGGTTGGATAAAACAAAAAAATTAAATATGAAGGTTTAAACAAAAATTTATTTAAATTTTAAATTTGAATTTAAAAGGAAAACATATTAAATACTATATGAGTTGTAATATTGTAATTTATTGGTTATTTTCAATTAAGGCAATTATTAATTGAGGTGTAAAATATGATGTGTTAATTAAGAAAAGATAAAAAAAAAAAATAAGAAAATGACAAACGGAAAACACATTTATTCAAAAATACTAAAAGATGACATGTGTCCAAGTTAATGAGCAAGTGACATGTGGCAAAATTATTTTGGTTTATTATAGAGGATATTAAACGGTTAGAGTTTGCTCGAAAGAGCATTTCCATCTTTTTAATATGTATGTGTTTCCTCTTGCGAGCACTTGTACTCTTTTGTTTAGGTGTTTGAGTTGGTTTTTTACTTCGATCATTTGTTGGATAGATTTTGATACTTTCTACCAGGGCCGTCTTAAGACGATGTGAGGCCCGGGGCGAAAAAAAAATGGGGTCGTTAATGATAGATATATAAATATAATTTTTATTTTTGGTAAAGGAGGGCGGTACCTCCGAAAATTTTTATTAATAAGAAAAAAAATTAATACAATTACAGGCTGGGGACTCCCCACCTACGGAAAGGAAAAAGCTTCGGGACAGGCCCCAGAAGCCAAACAATCTAATACTATAAATACAAAGCAACAAAATAAAAAAGGCTATAACATGATTTGCACCCTATTACATAAACATAGCAAAGAAAAAACTAAAAAAATTTACATTTACGAGCTTTTTTAGAAGCAAAGTCATTATAAATAGTATCAAGATCAATTTTATCCAACATATCTTTTTCGATACATAACATAGCCAAACCATTCAATCTTTCTTGTGACATAGATGATCTCAAATAACTTTTTAATAATTTTAATTTTGAAAAACTTATTTCTGCTGATGCTACAGTAACAGGTGTAGTTAATAATATTCGATATGCAATGAAAACATGTAGATAACAATCTTCAGTTTTAACGAACTCAAGAATTTCAACAGCAGACATAAAAACGTTTGGCAAAGTCATTTGTAACACTTGAAGTTCGGAAAACAAATAATTTGAATCTACATCACATAAGTTATTATGAGAAAATTGTTTTGTGAAATTAGTACAACTTTTTTTAAGTTCAATGTCATCCAATGACTTTAACTTTTTTGAATTATATAAAAATCCAAAAATATTTTCAAAAATAGTTAATTGTTCAAATCTATTCTTTAATGAAACAATTGTCATATCAACAACAAACATAAAATATTCAATTCTAAACGATTCTTCAGCTGACTGTAATTCTTGTGCATTATCAATCTCATCAAATTGCCTTTTTCTAGTAACACTACAAGAAAAAGGGGTATCAGATACTGACATAATCAGTCTCTGATGGTCAATAATCAGTCTCTAATGAGAATCATAGACCTATTTAGCTAGTCCCTGAAACCTAGTCCTAGATAATTGGGTTTTTATGTATTTAGGACTGAAAATGAGTCCCTAATACATCAAAGTATTAAATACTGAAAATTAGTCTGTCATAATATCTCATTCAGTCTCTAATTTGTTTTTTTTTTAAATCACCGATTTTTTGATGTCATATGAGTCCCTAATACTATCTTTTAGGGACTAATTATCAGCCCTTTATAATATATAATCCAGTTTCTAATATGTTTCACTGAAATCTCTATTTTATGTCGTATCAGTCCCCAATATTATCACATTAGTCCTTGATACTATCATTTTGGGACTAACTATTAATCTTCTAAACTATCTAATTTAGTCTGTAATATTATTTTTCAACGACTAAATATCAATATTAGATACCGAAAATGAATGGGATGGAGGGGATGAGGTGTAGTGAGGGGTAAAGCTCAGTCCCAACAAAAGAAATAAACAAGAAAATAAAGAATTAACACAAAATTTTAAAATATATACTAAGGGCAACATGATTCCTTAATACAACTTATGGATCATTAAAATATAAAATAATGAAAATACAATTAAGATAACAAATTTACAACACAATATCATGAATATTCTCGATATCTAAAACACAAAGTTCTTCAAAAAGTTTTAGAAGTTAAATTGATAAGGTTGAAGATAGTGATGAATGCATTTTGTGTACAAGCCAAGTTATCCTTTGGTTGTTCAACACTTTAAGTATAAGTGCATGATGCACATTTTCCTTTACAACCAACCAGTTTCCTACACATCGAACACTATAGATACGAGTTTCCAGATGAAATTCGGTTCCTAAAGAGAGAATATAAGAAAATTAGAATGATCAGTTTTATACTATAACCCAAAACAATAAAAACAAATAATGCAATCCCGTAATATATATATATATATATATATATATATATATATATATATATATATATATATATATATATATACAAAGAAAGATTTTTACATAAAAACCAAATCACATTCAAGACCTATCAATAAGACATTAGATATAAAGAAAAAAAAATATTCATGAGATTTGGTAAAATAAAGTTCATTTTCACTTTGAATTGGATGGTATTATACTATTACAAAAGGTTATGTATATACAAATAACACAATTATCATATTATGATTTCTACTTTTCTAATGTACGTCGTAAACTTATGCAAATACATAGTAAATAATTTTCTTCTATTTGTTCTAATTATTTATTTCACACATATACAAAACATTATAAACCATAACCGATATGACTATACCAAAGAAATGCATACCTTTGGGTTGCTAATTATATAGTAGCATTACAGAAGACAAGAGTGGTGATGAAGTATGGGCAACGAATCCTAAAAAATGATGGACTACATACTGTTAACGATGAAGCAAGAAATCTCAAATGGAACAAAGCCATTTCGACAAAAAGAGTGTAAGGAAAAAGGAAGCTTATGAAATGGAACGGCTTTACCATTGAACTCCATTTTATGGATTCATTAAAGAACTCTGAACTTTCATGCATAAACACCCTGGGACACATGTCATTAGTCATTACACGAATTTCAATATCAAATTTGGTTTCCAACCAAACAACCTGTAAAGGAAATAAACATAAAGAACATTAGTATAAAAATTTGTTTCCAACTCATCATCCTTTCTTCTTTATTAGATGTGCACAAAGATTCTTATAAATAATTATTAATTTAAAATAAGCATAAAGGCTAACTCACCTAAGTTTGAACTGCTTCGATTAATCCATATTCACAATTAATAACATGCACACTTTCCAGTTTAGGGAATCGCAATACTGATTTTTTCTGTTTCAGAATTAAAAATGAAAAGTCAGTCAAAAAAGAACCATGTAGTTGATGTATTATAACAACACATCAATAAAATTACATGGAATCCGACTTTTACAAGAGTTCAGATTCAAACCATTAAGATATGGACAACTTAGATAAAAGAACTGCAAAAATAAAAACAATTAAAAAAAGTAATAAAATGAAAGAAAAAGGAAGAAAAAAATTTTAGTTAGAACATTACATCATGGGTGAGCAACTCCAAATGCTTATTTTTTTTCAAACAGGCATGTTTTATAAACAACTTTTGATATATAAGAAGGAACTTGCTATATGGTGATATTTGTGTCACTGTTTCCTTCATGT